ACAAAAAAAAAAAAGCTCTATCTTAGAAAGGATCCCGACCGTCCGATTCTCCTGCATTCCTTCTCCGCGATTCCTTCTCCTCACATCCTCACTTCGCCCTATCCTTTTCACTTCCCTTGAGCTTTCACAACAACAGCGAGCAACTTCGTCACCATGCATCGCACTTATTCTATGCGCCAGTCGCGCGTTCCCACCGCCTCGCAGATCGAGAACCCTCCCCCGCCATTGTCCTCCACCAAGTCGAACAGACTCTTCGGAAAGGGTGGCTTCGGTGCGTGTTCTTCTTTCACTTCGCATGGTGGATGCCCATCCTGCTAACACGATTAAGGTACAGGCCATGCCCTGCGCAAGAACGCCGCCGGCGCCTTCGGGCCAGACCTAGCCCGCAAGCTCTCCCAGCTGGTCAAGATGGAGAAGAACGTCATGCGCAGCATGGAGATGGTGTCCCGGGAGCGCATGGAGACTGCTGTACGTTGTCGCTTGCATGGAAGTTCCTGGTCGGTACTGTACTGACAAAAGCAGCAACAACTCTCCATCTGGGGTGAGAACTGCGACGAGGATGTGTCTGACATCACCGACAAGCTCGGTGTCTTGCTCTATGAGATTGGAGAGCTTGAGGATCTCTTCGTTGACCGTTACGATCAGTACCGTGTTACCATCAAGAGCATTCGCAACATCGAGGCTTCCGTCCAGCCCAGCCGTGACCGTAGGTTTTTTCTTTTCTTTCCAGTGCCGCAGGAGTCGGGTTACTGATCGTGCATCCACAATGCAGGCAAGCAGAAGATCACCGATGAGATTGCCAAGCTCAAGTATAAGGACCCCAACTCTCCCCGCATCGTCGTCCTGGAGCAGGAGTTGGTCCGCGCGGAGGCCGAGTCGCTCGTTGCCGAAGCCCAGCTCTCCAACATCACCCGCGAGAAGCTCAAGGCCGCCTTCCAGTACCAATTCGATGCGCTCCGCGAGCACTGCGAGAAGGTGGCGCTAATCGCCGGCTACGGCAAGCACCTGTTGGATCTGATCGATGACACGCCGGTGACCCCCGGCGAGACTCGCCACGCCTACGACGGCTACGATGCCAGCAAGGCCATCATCCAGGACTGCGAGGAGGCGCTCGCCAACTGGGTCACCTCCAAGGCCTCGGTCAAGTCCAATTTGTCCACCCGCTCGCGCACCCTGTCGCAGCGTCGCCGCGAGGGCGCGAACAAGAGCCGCGAGGGCGTCGACCTCTCCGGCCAGGACCAGCCTCTGGGCCGCGACTCGTGGGTGCCCGCCGACCAGCACTCGTCCTACCACCACGATGCAGAGGATGGCGAGGAAGTCGCCAGCACTCTGGACGGTGAGACCCGGGGCCGGGAGGAGGAGCGAGAGCCCGAGACAGCCGTTTAGAGAGGCTGCTGCTTTCCACTTCCCGAAGAAATCTGGTTGATATTATCACGATCATTAAGGTTCCTGGAGTACGCCACTAATTGTAATTTGGTTTTTCATCGAGATTCCCGCTTGATGTGTTGTTCTGCCTTGTTCTGCTTTGATTCTCTTTTTTCCTTTTCACCCCCGATGAATTACTGATAATTAATCGATTTCGATGATGATATCTATCCTGCCAGAAAAAAAAAGAAAAAAGAAAAAAAAAAAACATAATCTTCAGTCGTGTGTCCGCCAGAGGGGTGTGAATTCGTGTGTGAGGGCGCACACGTCTGCGATGATAGCCACAGGGGGATGTGACCTTTTTCCGCGGGCGACCTTTTTCCCTCTACTGTCCTAATTGACTAATGTAATACTATACCACTTGCCCAAGTTGACGGTGATGGGGAGGTACATGTTTCACGTCTGTTGTGTTCCGTCTTGATTGTAGTCATGTTGTTTAGGATTTGAATAGTAATCGATTGAGTTGCGGTCGTTTCATTTGAAGTATGGTATTGTAGTTGGTTGGTCAAGAGAGTGGTGAGCCCATCTCTCTTCAAGGCTGGGGAGTCTAGAGACGGAAGTAGATTGCCCATGGGCCTCGAACCATGAAAACGATAGATACCCACCACCCTAGCACCGCATCATGTCACTGATAACCCCAATTGGCGATGAACAGGACCGCTACAGCGACAATGCAATACGGTAGCCCTAAGCAGGACCTCCAACCAAGACCCCCTCCAAATCAACCATCCTCACAGCCAGTGACCACTCACAACATGGACCTCACAGAAACAACCCCCAGCCCAATCACCCACTATCTTCCCATTCCGCTGGACCAGACGAAAATCACCACCACCATCCCATTCCGAAGATGTAGCCACAGAAAAACCACAAGGTTATCGATGATCCTCCGGCCCGGATTCCTGCCATCCGCGGATTCAACTCCATGTCATGAATGAGTATGCCATGAGGTCAGATGCACACAGGAACAAGCCTCGATCTCGCGAGATCCCCTCCGTAACCTCGTGATAGGGTATCTGTCTGTTGTTCCCCGCTTATCTAACTCTTTATGATCCTAGCATTGACCGAGTACGGATGTGTGTGCTCGCTCGGCACTCCACGCCAGAAGGCATGCGACTTGAGATGGTGGGTGGGGTATGTGATGGGTGGGTGGTTAGGATGCTGGTGCTGGTGCTGGTTGCTGAAGTTGGGGGCCGTAGGGGTGGGTATATACTGTCGTGGTCTATAGCGGAGTCCAGCGTGATATAAAACCAGACACAGATCTGCAGAAATGCGTCGAGGACCGGACTCCCTCGCTTGCGTTCTGGTCAGGTGTAGCTATACTAGATCATCCTGCTCCGGTGTAGCTGGCTTCCTTCGGCTCGGTTGGTGGTTGGAGCACTTACTGTCGTCATGTGGGATCGTTCGGGGTGTAGTTTGTTATTCATGGTACGGTGGTTCCGGTGCAGACCTTTGAAGAGATTGCCTGGGTAGAGTGTACAGGTCGTGTGTTGAAAGCGAAAGATTGTTGATGGATTCCTGAGAAAGGGAGGTTAGGATCTACTTGGGGCTCATGGAGTGTACTATACGAGAGAGATGGGAAGTATAAGTAAACAGGTTAGAATGTTCAGAGGCACGTCCATACACAGCCTGAGTCATCCGTCTCTCGATGCCCAGTATACATTGACTGATTCTGCCAGGCATGGAAGTACAGTGGTATAGCCAAGACCAAGACAGTAGAGATACTCACCTCAGTAACGCAGGCCCGGGGCAAACAGAGTCAACTCCCAATCCGGCAGCCCATCCCCGCGATTCTACCTCCAGATTCCTCAGGCAGGAATGCCGAGTGCGGGTGCGGGTGCGCCGGCCGAGGTGATGTCAGTCGCCTGCATCGGTCACACCACTGCAGAATGGACCTCCTTCCTGCCCTTGAAGAGATCGAGGATCATTTATTCATCGCCTACAACTGACCGAGTAATAGACTAGTGCAGTGCACGGTAGCGAACACCTCAGCTGAGTACTCCTCACCCCCCGCGCCTCGAATCATCTTTCGTTTGAGTAAGGTGCAGGGGGGCTAGTGCAGAAGTACCGCACAGTACATGTAGACCACAGTGCTGAGTCGTTGCAAACCGACCAGCCAGATATCTCCCCCGTGGGGGTGCTAGAGTTTGGTGTGATTTAGGTTCATGATGGCGCAATTCCGATGGGGATTGCATTCATGGACTGCCCTGAGACAAGGCTATAATTCCCTCCAATTAACGGAGTTACCTGGTGTGGGATTATTGACACCGAAAACTGAAGCAACTCGTTCATTGAAGATTTGTTCATTGGGCTCTTCTTGTTATTCATTTCAGTCTGGTAAACCACTTTCTCCCTAAGTCCCCAGGTGTGGCCGGCTTCAAAGCGCCATCTCATAGCTATAGCCCATACGATAAATGAAGATGCGAAATTGTACGTGCGTGGGTCTCAACTCGAAAACAACCAAAGAAAAAGTCAATATAAACACCCCATATCCCCTGGACTCCGATTTGCGCGTTGGATGGAAACAACGAAACAAACAACACAGACACAAATGTATATATAGAGAAAAGAAATAGCAAACGGTCACAATCGAGGCTTCCTGATCCTGATCCTGATCCCCATCCCGCCCTGATAGTAATAGCCCGGAAATGTTCAGTAAACGACACACGTGTATATGACTGGCCTTCATATACCGCAACATGATGATGATAAGAATAAGCGTGGGTTGCGTGCACACTAGGTAAAGAATATTGAAAGAGAAAATCAAAAGGTCATTACATCGTCATCCGACTTTCCATCCTAGGATGGGTCCCCGGCCTTTCGAAGCGAAAGGTATGAGAAACATACAAATAGATAAAAACAGATGCGAAGAGGCACGGCGTCAAACGGAATCCTCAAACTAATCAAAGCGCAAGGGACTCGACATGTCGCGTGAGTGGAGAATCAATAAGTGGGTTTTATGCGATTTCTTTTGATTTGACACGGGCTCAGCTGTCGGTGCCCACACCCTTCTTTTTGGGCTGGATATGTTTCTGTCCAGGGCCGGTGACGCTGGATGTTTTCGAAGTCAAGGCGCTGCTGTCGGTCGGGGGCGGCACCAGCCGGGTCGAGCTGGCCTCGTGCTTCTCGGTGAGCAGGTTCTTCAGCCATCGGTTCTCCATCTCCAGCTGGGCCACGCGAGCCTCGAGCGAAGCGTTCTTCTCGGTCGTCTCGCGCACGGTGCGTTCCAGCGCCTGTTCGCGTTGCTTCTTCTTCATGCGGAACCGGGCACTGGCGGCCGTGTTCCGGCGGCGGCGGTCTTCTTCCGCGGCGCGGCGGACCCCCTCTTCCTGATTGAGAGCCGACGCGAGGTGGTCGCCAGGAATCTGTGTGCTGTATTTGGTGTTGGTGATAGCACCGTTGGGAGGTGATATGGACGAGGAGACATCAGATGGAGTCAGGGCCCCGGGGACCTGCGCCAGATCATCCGGGGGCCCATATGAGATAGGTGGGTAGAGTGGGTGAGCTGGATAGGAAAGCATTTGATCTGTTGTGAAGCCGTCAACACCAAGGTAGAGGTAGAGGTAGAGGAGAGGACGGCAAGCGATAAGATAAAAAAGCCACAGTGGAATGGAGGAAGGGGGGTGGAAAGGAACAATGGAAGCGGAAGCAGCAAGATATGGGGCACATGGAAGGGGATCTTGGTCCGGTACACCAAGGGATGAGAGCTTGGCTTAAGGGTCCGTCGCTGACAAGGTTCCCGACGTTGTCATTGGTGTGGATGATTGCGTGCTCACATAGAGCATTGCACTCATCACCAGACAACCAAAAGTCCCCGGAATTAGATTGGTCAAAAATGAGCAGTCAGAACAGCAACAAACCAGTGCGCACGAGGAGGGTGATTGCTTTCTCCAAAGGACTCGAGAAATCACCCTCCCGCAATGCATTGATCATTGCTGGGTCCGAAACAGCAGTAAGGGGAGAATAGAAGATAGCAACAGAGAAGACAACAGACAGGCACGAGGCGGTTAGAAAAGGGAATGGCAAAGCCACGGAATCCCCATCAGGCAGCCAGGTAAGACAATCAATCAATCAATCAATCAATCGATAGTAATGGGTTTAAAGCCCCGTCGGTTTCCCAGAAACAGGAGGCAAGCGTTTGCTGTTACATGCATTCCGCAGTAGCTCCAGCATATCCCATCGGAGAGCCGTAGGGCCAGAGATTGGGAAAACGAACCACAAAGCTTGAAGATGGCGCCAACAATGCAACAATGAGAGTCATTTATAAAAAGCTCCAAGCTTCCGACTTACCATAATGCGGATATCCTCGCACATCGATCGGGCTGCGCTCGTCCTCAATGCTGTCATACGAACTGACGGAAAGGCCGCCCATCCCCTCGGTCTGGTCGTAATCCATATTCAGGTTCTGGAAGGAGGCCAAAGCTGTCGATTCTGCGTCAAAGGAGTACTGTCGACTCTTGGCCAGGTTGGGATCGTGTCGAGAGAGAAGAAAGTTGAAGTTTTCGAGCCTATCGAAGCTCGAGGCTGTCCGCTGAGCGAGGTTTTGCTCATCTGACATTTTGGCGGTGGAGGGCTTTTTAGAGGATTTTTGGTCTCTTGTCCTCTAAATTAGGTTCTCTGGTTTATTAAAATTGTTTTGCTGGACCTAATGACTTTGCCCCCCCAAGTATGCTGGGTGGCTTGCTTTTTCCCCCCGAGCCAACAGAGAGTGTGATAGATGACCACCAGAGCCAATGTCGGACCCCGGATCAGCACGGTAAGAGAGGGGAGAAGTCGGTTTTGGGTAAAGAAGAACAAATGATCCAAACAGTTAAAGAATAATTTTAATATTTTTTTGTTCTGTCTTTGAGCTGGAAGAGGCAAGTGTTGGGGGGTGACTTATAGCAAAGATAAACTGTTTTCCGCATTCACTTTACCTATGATCATTGCATGGCCCGAGACGGCTAGCCACGTACGCAAAGAGCACGAGTTAATGGACGGGAATAAGACACAATTAGCCTAGCTGGGTGGATCAAACCAGGAGGAATGAGAGGGGAGAAGGAGGAAGGGGGGGGGGAGGTGGGAAGTGGGTGGGAGGCGTTAGGTTGGTAGCAGGAGATGCAGGATCACACAACAGTAGGGTGGTAGTAAAAGGACCAGCAGCAATAGGAAATTGGAGCATGTATCATCCAAACAAAAAGATGAGAAAAGAGAACATCAAGCCGGGGGGGGGAAGGGAATAAGCACACAAGCAGCGAATACGGGCAGTGATGGTTGATCGTCTCATGGCCCGGCCAAGGCTAGCGGATGATCTGATAGAATGGAGAAATGTCGTGATCGCACTCTGTGGTTGGTCAATTTGCCAACCTCGGGTCACTTCATTCAGCTTCACCGCTCGGCGGCAGAACAGAGTGGGAGGGGAGTAAACAAGTTACGGAAAGGAAGGAAATAGGAAAGGGAATGGGGATGATATAAATATTGATATCTATGTCATGAGATTGTGGTCCAGTTGAGGGGGGAAAAAAAGAAATTCCAGAAGGGTAGAAGGGTTAAAGAGGAACAAGAAGTTCTGGGGAAGTGGGTAAGTGTAGGTCGGGTGAAGGTAGACCGTGAGGAAGGACGAGATCTGAATGGGCAGGAGCCGAGGAGCGGGCGGACGTCAACACAGCGCAAATCAATAAGTACCTAGTACGAGTAACAACAGTACAAACTGGAAAGGGGAGACGACCCGCTGAGGGACCCAATTCTCCCTCCCACTTATCATTCAGTTCCTGTCACTGCACAGTGCACATTCGTCATCAACGTTTTGGACTAACAATCTAGGAAAAAAGAAAAAA